ACTCCGCATGACATGACTCGAGACTATATATCTTATCCTGTAGAAATACTCGTTGGGTACGCTGTGATGGATAAGAATGTAACCATCTCAATGAGACATCTCTGAAGCCATACATTTCCAATGTTTCATGAGCACACTATGATCTACGCAGTCAGAGGCTTTGGTGGGATCATAAAACATAGCTACGATTGACTCGCTTTCTGATAGACACAGATTTCTCAGAATATCGAAGATATTCACCAGACGGACCGATTCATGAGGAGCATCAACTCTGGTATTCACAGTAAAAGATCATTGTTGATACTATACTATACTACATCAGTTTTAGGGAATCTGTCACTCATAAATGGGTCAGATGTTTACTTTCAGTCTATCTATCGTGAGACCATCAAAGAGTATCTTTTCAGAAAAAAACCTACTTTTGAAAAATATTCAGATGTAACTTCTCTACAGATACATTCTGCCACATCAGTTTTTTGAGTAGCAACTAATCATATTTAGATCAGCCTGTATATCAGGGAGCAATTTCAATTGTTTGCAGGCAAAATATTGTTGATTACATGGCCATGGTGTGTGACCAAAATCCTGACATTCATTATTCAAACAAAAACGTTTTCAATAATGACTTCTATGATTACTTGGAAAAGGTAATGTATAGAAAACAACACGTTTCCAAATTTTTTAATTCGAACATTATAAAACTCGTTGTAGGTTACTCCAATCAATCCACTTGCTGAAATAAGATTCATGGGAAAATTAACCCATGTCAACCGATTCAAACCCATTATCACAGATGAAGGAATTTGCTACTCTTTCAACATACTGGATAGATCTCAAATTTTCCGCAGTAATGTGTAAGTATCTCAAATGAGTATCTCTAATATACATATAAAATGGGCTTCGAGTTTCGAGTTTTTCTCCTTCAGTTATAACTAGATGAATTTTTTGAAAATTTTGTTGTTACTCAAATTAGTCTTACTATAATTTCAACACCTCAACTCATGTTTCGATCACCAAGTGATCATCTTCAAGAGGAAGATTAAGTTGAATCTTGCTGTGTGCCAAAGCTCACAAAGCTACAGCTCAGAAGCTGTACCACGACAATAAAATACTTTAAATTTTTAGGAAACACTATAAGGAGTATCATACGCAAAAGGAAGTTGTAAAAAACAGCTGGTCGATGGAAAACGGATACACTGAAAATGCTAGCCTATATCCTCATCCTCTCAGGGCATTGCTTGCTGGTGCCAAGAATTCTCTGGAGATCATTTTAGTGTCACCCAAATCAGAAATTGACCACACCTGTAAAAGTTCTCTTCAAGGATTCAGGGTATTCATAAGAGAATTATTTTCAATGTTGAGATTGATAGTACTCTTCAACTTTCCAGGTTTCACTGCACATACCCTCAAGAATACCACGACCAAGTCAAGAGTATTTCCAGGTAACTACTACAATAATAATTCTTCTCATTTATGGGTTGTAGACGTGGTAAAAATTGAAAACTCAGGTTCCTGTTGATTTGTTCATGTTGAAACGTTGATTATTTTTAGAAATGAATGGAAAACTTCAGATTCAAACTCATCTTCCCAAATACCGTCTCCCCAAAACCCATAAATCTGAGTTTCCAAGTATTTTTCACCTCAGGTCAGTTATAGGTACCTCATTATTATGTCAGTACTATAAATCAATTGAAAATGAAAGTTGTATCGAGGAGAGATACATACGTATAAGAGAATGAATATTTTGAAATGGAATTTTGGAACACTCATCTTTTTCAATGCTGTCCTGCTGCTGGATGAACGAAACACATTTGCATAAATGCCTTTCGAGTATAATTCAATGCCCAGCGTGATATTAGCCGGAAAAATAGTTGTTTTCCTTCCTACCTACTGTGTAGGTACGTTGGGAGAGATGAATGTTTCGAAATTCCATTTCCAAATATTTGTTTTCTACGTCAGTAATATGTTTCAGGTTCCTGTGAATGAAGTTGTTCTTGCAGCTGTTTATCCAGATATGATGACGACATCCGACTCAGTGAAAACATATAATCCAAAGAGGAGAGAATGTTATTTCCCATCAGAGAGGCATCTGAAGTATTTCATAGTTTACACGTCGAACAATTGCAAGCTGGAATGTCTAACCAATTATACTTTGAACTATTGTGGATGTGTCAACTTCTACATGCCAAGTAAGAGATTTTGAACTTTGCACCATATCCTGAAAAATGTTACCTGTCTTACTTTTCAACTTTTCAATTTCATGCGGTTCAACACTTAGACAGATAGATTTTCATTAAATTTTAGGAGACAACACAACACAAATATGTGGAACAGGAAAATTGGAATGTATGGCTTTTGCGGAAGAAAACTACGAATTGGGTGACTTACAGAAAAAGATAATGACACCTAAAAAACGGAGGTTTTTCGAAGAATTTTCGGACGATCTTTCCAAGACAGATCCCTTTCAGACTGCGACTGTATGCCGTTGTGTTCAGATTTGTCGTACAACGTACATATTTCCCAGAATCCATATGATAGAATGCAACTCCTCAGAGCACTAGCTTCGAACGCATCTGTGGAATACCCAGAAGACAAGTAAGTAATTAATTATAAACTATTTTTTATTATTTGTTTTGTAAAACCGATACTTAATCTTCTTATATTTTCATTGAAAGCGTTCGCCACAAGGAATTGTGGCAAGAAAATTCATCTGATAGAGAAGTAAACACAATATAGAAATGCAGGTTTTTACGGCTGGCGTCAATGTGTTTGGTTGGCAAAACCTGGAAACCAACCAAAACAATAAACACAGTATACTTGCAAAGTCAGATTCAAAGATTTGGTTTGCATTAGGAGTTTTAGAAGGTTCAGATCAGGATGCTGATAGAGTTAATGAAAATTCCAATCCGATCTTTACGCAGATTGACAAAAAATTGAGCCACAGGGGAAAAGCACAAGAGTCATGGCTGAGATATTTTAGGATGTTGTGGTCGGTCGGTAGCCAAGCGGTTCGACGTGGTTACTTTGTTCACTCACTAGAAGTGACTGCCGTGTTGGTCGGTGGTTCAAGCCCTAGTCTGAAAGATCGATTTTCACTTGCTATCGTCCAACCCGTGCTAGGAATCACACGTTGAAAGGTAACCTCGTCAATCGTAAGCTAGTACAAGTTTCTACTTCTGAGGGTTGTCGTTCGTAGGGGTGCGACAGCTGCTTAAGGGAAAAACAGTTACAATCAGTAACCTTCGATCTTTTCTGGGATTTGTCTCTCCTCATACCACAGAGAACTGGCTAATTGAGTTTGTCGCAATGCTTGGATTCCTCCACAAGAGAGTAAACTTAGGATGGACATGGAAAATTGACGTGTTCGAAGTGCAAGGAAAGGAGAAAATACACAAAGTGCCTATCTAATCATAGGTTCTCCCATATTTCTGTTTGAATCTGTTTAAAATATGTTTTTCCGTTAACCAGCTGTCGCACCCCTACGAACGACAACCCTCAAAAGTCGAAACTTGATTAACGAGGATTAACGAGGTCTTGCCTTTTAACGTCTGATATTTGAGTAATTCATTCAATAATAGAGTAAATGTTGCCATTAACTTTTCTTCAGAAGGATTAGACATGAGCAATTATGTAGCAGACAAGGTGGCTCCTTGTTGCTATGATCTATATGCGCTTTCGAACCACAATGGGACAACTTACAGCGGGTATTACACAGTATATTGCAGATAGCCCTAAACTGGCACGTGGCACAAATACAACGATTCACACGTGTCATCAATTTCAGCTGTGAGTCCTTTTTTATGATGGAGTAGTGGAAAGCCAAAAACTTTCTTTTCCAAAAATTAAATGAGTTATTTCTAGAAATACTAACGCCAACTTTAAAATTACAAAGTATCATTACAATTATGATACTCTTACTTTCATTGCCTTCTCTTCAATTATTTTACTAAAAAATGATCTCGGAGAATCACAAATGGATTTTTCTCGAACTTGTGTTATTCCTCCAGGTGAGCTATTGTGAGCTAACTCTTCGAGTTAGAAAGTAATGAGGTAGGAGACGGGCCAAGTGGCATATAAAATGAAATTTGGTTAGTAGCTTCATGTCCAAGTTTACACTATTTAAATAAAGTTCGTCCAATGTATATTCTCAGGTTTTGTCAATGATCAGTTTCAGAACACTTCAAGGAAATGAATGTTCACATTTAACTCCTCATTGGAACAAACTAGGCTTAGGTTAGGTTAGGAACAAACTAGGGTTAGGGCATCACAAAACAAAAGTGAAAATTTACAACGATATATAGTTTTTCAAAAAATATGTTTATGTCAAATCCAGTTCTCCTAAAAGAAACATGACGATGATCTAAACATTATCAAAAAGCCTTATGACACTAGGTTATGATTCATGAAATGAATAATCTTGTATTTAATCTATTAGTGATTGTTTGTTGCAGGTATTATTTCTCTAAACTGATAGTCTTCTTCAAGTCAGCCCAATTTATAACTTCACAGAGACACGAGCTTTACGGGCCGACTGACTTCCTGGCAAATTTCGGAGGATTACTGGGTCTCTTTACTGGATTTTCGATCCTTTCGCTAATGGAGGCAATTTATTTCCTGACCGTCAGACTGTTTTGCAATTCTCGACTCTACGGCTTTTGGGCTGGACCGGATACTTCATAACTGTCCATATTTTTGTTGAAACTCACCTCAGATTTCAATATAATGAAACAGGATCAGTGAATTTAATGAAAGAAAAATAATGTACAATAAATATTCAATGTGTTTACAGAGGTCGAGCCTGTTTAGGATAATTCAATTCCATATTGTCGCTGATACGTTATATTTAAACCTAAAATTCTTCAATAAATAAATAAAACTCAAATCAATCAAATGTGTTTCCACTCACTAGCAATGAAGGCATCTCATTTTGTCTATTCGTCAGAAAACGGCTAAATGTTTCTCATCTGCGGTTTCAACCCATTATATAAATAAATAACTCAGTAATTCCTTTGCCCACTCCAATTTCCATACAACTGGAAATTACTCCATAACCTTAATGAGAGAAAGTAAATTATTTCAATGAATGATAGAATGGAGAATCCTGTGAACAATCCTAGGAGACCACCAAAGTTGGATATAACATCAGAAAATCCATAAAGCTCACTCCTTTCTTTGGTTTCGATGTGGTTGCTCTTGAAGTATAAGCTCAGAGAAGAGTATTGATAGCTAAAAAAACAAATTCTGGCGATAATTCATAATGAATGAATATTAATTATACCGCATTATATCAGATTAAATTCAATGAATGCATTATAAGTGATAGATAGAACTAAAACCTCTCGCAGAGCAAGCACTTCTACAATATACCAAAAATGCAACAATCCTCTTCACTAACCATATCGATAAATTAAAAATCGTCTCCTGAAGACCTCAATCATGTTGATGAAAATAGTGTTGCAGTGTTTGTGAGCAGCACATTACAAATATTTAAAAACACTCGGAAAAGAAACACTGGTTGAGATATGTAAATGACACGTTCCTTGTTTGGAGCCATGCGAAAGAATAACTTCAGAACTTCCTCAAACATCTATAGCTTGCATCTGAAAATCCATTTCCTCATGGAATTGGAAGAAAACCTCCAAAATCTCATTCCTTGATGTTTTTGTCATCAAGGAAGATGATCAACTAGGCCATAAGGGCCATAACTGTGGTTAACTATATCGGTCAGACGGAAAGAAGCATTGGCACACGCCTGGTCGAACACAAGCGAGCTGGAGGCGACAGCTTGCTCGCATTTTTTTTAACCAAGGATTGCCGTTGAAATTTCGTTTCATTGAAAAGGAATATCTGCATCCATGGATGATAGAATAACTTCCGTGACTTCAGAAGCACAAGTTGATAGATCATTAGAGCTAGTACAAACATCTAGCTAGCGGTAATTAAAGAAATGATCTTGAAGATACTCTCACTCAGCACTCATCTACATTGTGGGAAATTTGAAACCCAAAAAACATCATTAAACATAATTTGCCTCTTATGAATTTAGCTTATACGTTTACTTAATGAATGATCAATGATACATCATTTTTCTCTATGTATCTACCTCCACCTCCGTTAACCTCCGCTTCTCCAGTGACCAAACTTCGAACTTCCACCTCCGCAATCACAGATTCAACGTTTGTGAGACTTTCAATCCATGCATTTTGAGTTTTTGTGTTACCAAGTTCATATGATTCAGTTTTTAAAGACATTTCTTTCAGATGAACCAATTTTCAATATTTTATAATCGATAGTCACGAAAAGATATGATACCTTTTAGCAATGTGACGATAGTTTTGATTGGTGTAAGTGAAATGGAAGTGAAAATTGAGTTAAGGAGCCTTCTGAAGCAACATGCAAACCGTTCAAAAACATTGGTCAAACTTACTGTTCTTCATCAAGATATTCTCTCAGAGTTCTGTTCACTGGTACCAATTTCAATGTGTTGTATGATAACGACATACCGTATGTTATTTCTGTACAGGTAGGGCGGCACACACAATTCATATTATCATCTAAGCTTTCGGTTACCTCTGAGTATGCACTACTCATTGTAAACATCCCTGAAAATGATTCATTAAGTAGGGTATTTGTTGAAGAATTTCAAAATTCTTCTTACAATCAACTTTCTCTAAACACTCTATTTTCTGTAGCAGGCAAACAGGAACTCCGTGGATCTCTGGAATAAAAGATTTTCTTGAACCAGGTTTAGAACTATCAGCAGTGACAATTTGATGAAATGTTATTTTTTGAACGGCGTTTTATCCCAAAAACGAATATAGATATATTGTTTTGGAATATTCACAGTATTTCATCCTAATGGAAGATATGATTAATTGAATTCTGATTTCATGACCATTGTTTTACAACTCTTTTAGTATCTCGGAAATTTTCGAAATGGGATTGAAAGTTTCAGAATCTGTGCAAGAGCAATCCAGTATTATTGAAAAATATTTATTAATTTTTTCATGTATAGAAAAGAGGAAAATCTATTTTTATATCCGACGAAGCTACCATTATTATATGAACCATTTCATTCTCTTTCAAAAATTCCACAAAAAAATTACAGTCGGTATTTTATTCAAGAATAGAATAGAATAGACATATACTTTATTGACAAAGCTTGTTAAAAAATCTGGTATATATAGCACTTCAAAGAATAAGAGAAAAGAAACAATTCAAAAACACAAATACACAGAAACACAAAGCGCTGCTGAAACAGCCTGAAAAATTAATCAAGCGTTTAGTAACGATAGTGTTAATGAAAGCACTGTTCCACGTTATTTTACAACATTTCAGCCTCGAATATGAGTCTGGAAGTGGTCACAGTTATCCAGGACGAGGATTTGATGACCCTGGTGGAGACTGACCTATCAAAAATGATGGGTGAGATGGCGGAAGAACTGGGTGTCAGCTCCCATGTGGTTTTTAATGGTTTGAAACGTACTGGAAAGGACAAAAAGCTCGAAAAGTGGTGTCTCACGATTTGAACGATCGACATGAATTGTCACGTTTCGATTTCTGTCCTTTTCTGTTTTTGGCAACCAGAACGATCCTTTTTTTGAACCAGATCGTCACGTGTGAATTAAAATTGATCCACTTATGGCCTGCTCGAGCACCAAACTTAAACCCCTTGTATTATTTCCTATAGGGCCACCTAAAGTCATTAGTTTATACTACTCCAATAGAAGATGTGGAAGATTCGAGAAATCGGATAATTGCTGGTTGTAACGCAAACAGAAACGATCCGGTGCTTTTGAAAGAGTTCGGGAGTCGATGAGGAGAAGATCTTGCATCCGAGCGGGGAGTAGTAATTTTCAAAGTTTTTGTAGATTAACAAACAATACATGTAATTTTTTGTAATAAATTGTTAATTGTCGAAATTATTTTCCGCTCCGTATCTTCAAAACAAAGCGCCCTATCAAAAATCATCAAAGGACAAAACAGTCCCTTGAATTTTTGCCGCATGTTCAATAAACACCCTGCATATATCCATATTCACAAAATCAGTAAGAAAAGTACATATACATCATTTATACATTTCTTTTTCAAAGTAATGTAAAGTAATACTTACGTGGCATGTAAAATTCCACACATCCGCAAAACTGTAAAGTATAATTCATTTTACACTCTAACATACAGTTTTCTTGGGAGTATATTTTGAAATATTTCAGTGTTTTATCTGACTGAAAGTAACAGTCTCTTTTGGAAGCATCAAACATTTTGACGCCATCCGACGTTTTTATCATATGAGGAATTATGTTTCCGATCACTCTTCCATTTAGTGGGAGGTTGAAAAAATTCTCTGGGACGTTTGGAATAGTGAAAGGCGAATGTAGAGTAACCTATAAAAGAAGAAAGAGGAAAAATAAATGAATAATGTACTAGAGAATGAATATTTTGAAATAAAACTTCGAAATAATCGTCTGGTCTCAACTACATATGGTAAATGCGTGGCTGAAAGCAACTACTTCCCCGGCTGGTACCAGGCTGGATATTGAATTATATCCGACAGACATTTATGCAAGATACATCACAGGCGTTAGTTTGGCGGATGAATAATGGAAGAAACAAGTTAGATACTGATTGGTATCAACGTTTCATCGAGTGAGACAACATTTTTCAGGCTATATACTCGTGCTTAAGATACTGTTGCAACTGCGGCGATTTCGCCAGTATCCACAATATAGGAGGATATAATTAATTGTTTAATGTCTAAACAGGAATAAATCCCAATAACAAGACATATTAATATTATTAACAAACATGTTACAGTTTAAATCTGCCTATATACACACAATACACATACATATATACATACATACACATATACATGAATACAATACTAATTTATCAACTAGAAACGCCTGAAGCGAGTAAACAAAAAATAAAATAAAGTAAACATTTAGAAGAGTTAAGCAAAAAATTAGGTGGAACACTTGTGTGCAGCACGCTAGGAGAGTTATTGAAAAAAAACCTCAAGTCAGATATAGAGCTAACAAGTAAAAACATAGTTCAGGTTACAAAAAAAAACATAATTCAGCAGTAATACACTAGTAGTAATAAGCTAACATGGTAGAATAACTTTCAATTTGCGCTCATGTATTTTGACTAGAGTGTGAAAGTGTCTCAACGTGGTTCTCAACTTGACCAATAGGTTCATAATAAATGTCGAGATTTTCACAGAGTTGATTGTAAAGTTTGCTCATTGCAACAACTGGTGACTTGAGTAATATGTTTGTTCTAGAATTTGGTAGATAAAAAGTCAGTTCATTTCTAGAATTGATTCGTGGAACATGAAAGTTGAAGTGGGAGAGTAGTTCGGGACAGTCAATCAGATTATTCACTAGTTTATAAATGAAAATTATAGAGTAGTAGGTTCTTCGGTTTTGAAGGGATAATATATTGAATTTATTCAGTAGTATTCTGTTGTCGATGCCTTGTTCAGGGTAAACTCCTTCTAGCTTGTAAGTAATATATTTCATGAAGCTTCTTTGTATAGACTCAATTTTGTTTATATGGACGTTGTATATGGGTGACCATATAAGGGAGGTATATTCCAGCCGAGATTTGACGTATGCATTGAAAAGAGTTGAAAAACTGTATCTGCTACCAAAGTTCTTATAGTTACGATAAATGAGCCCTAGCATCCGTTTGACTGAGCATGTTACTGTGTCATAGTGGATGGAGAAACTGATTTTAGGGTCAAATATGACACAAAGATCCCTTTGATGAGTGTTTATTTGAAGAGGTGTGTTATTTATGCAGTATATTTATGTATATATTTGTATTGTTCATATTTTATCAGCTTCTATTAATGTTTCATTGATTGAAAAGATGAAATAATGATACCAATCAGCTCCTAACTAGTTCCTCACTTTTCAGTTTATTTCGTTTAAGCCTAGTTTAACTAGGCTACTATCCGTTTAACCCGTATTTTAACCGCTCAACTGAAACTATAAATATTGGTTTTCCGATCTCAGAAAAAAAATTCGCTCTGTTAATATTTTTCTTCAAATCTTGAATATCTGCAACAGTTTGCAAAATATTCGAAAAAACGAATTCCTCTCTTTTTTTGTTCAGCTAAATTGCTTATAACTTTTGAACAATTTGTTTGTACAACTTTGCTTGAAGTATCCATGAATTTTCACAAAATGAACAAGTCATCAATTACACAAATTAACACATTATAATTATTGGAAACACTTCTACTCATGGATTATCTAAATGTAAGTCTGTCAAGACTTTTCTTTCGATTACTGGAAACAAAAACACTTCAGTTATTACTTTTAAAAGTATCTGAAAAGATTTTCAATAAAATAATTACCCGAAATCCTGATTCGTCATATGCACATTCATATTCAATATCAGTTACTTCCGTTTTGAGAACAACCATAAGTGAATTTTTCACTCCAATTCGAAGCGCTCGTTTAGGATACGTTTCGAAATCTTTGCCAAAATATCCCCCTTCAACGTTCCAATTCTTAATCGGTTGGGTTTTGTGGAAATCAGGAAATTTGGATCTGGAAATGAACACAATATTCGAAGTTCAAAAAACTTTCATGGAATAATAAATAAATTTGAAAGGGTGATAATAATAACATAACGACACATACAGTGTGACCCATTTTTAATGGAAACACCCCCCTAAAATTTGAAGTTGTAAATCGATTTTAATAATTTTTTTTGAAGTGTCAAGTACTGAAAGGTCTACCTTGGGACAAAATTTGAAATGTTCATTAAAGTTTCAGGGCATACTACGATATTTCCTTTTTAGTCGAAAATCGGGATTTTTTATTAGCGATTTTTTATTGAAAAATCACTACGCCACTGGATTCAGAGTGCCTCTAAACATCCAGATCGTCCTCGTATTAGCTGCGGTACGGTAAATAAAATAAATAAAATATTCAATGAAACTGGTGCAGTATCAAAAATGATGTTGAAAAGTAATCCTGTACAAAGACGAAACAGGAATGACAGGAATGATCAAATCATTTTAGATTATTTCGGAAATAATCCTAATGCNTTCGTCAGTATGCAATATAGAATCAATCCACAGTCAACTATATAAATTCTCACGAGAAAAATATCATTCGAACTCACGATCTTTGGATCGTAACTCGGACAGACTACCACGGGTTTTTTTAGATATGCAAAATTATAAATAGATGTGGTGTACACACAATTCATTGATCAGACACAAGTTTTTTATTTATATTTCGTCGTAGGAAGTGAATAAGACAAAACTGTGAACCTTTTTTAGATTGGAAATTTGCCAGATCAAAATCGAGTTAACGATTCTGTAAATCTATACTAATATTATACCTATACCCTTGGAGTTACAGGCAGATAGTGTACCGTAAAATTGTTTATCTTGAATATGCGTTTTTTCGATTACTGAAAATCCGAATCAGTTTAACAATGAAATGAAAAAACCATTTGAACTTGGCAACAACGAAGGCGAATTTAGGGAGGTGTATTTATTTATTTTTTCGGTAAAAGGCCAATGCGGGTATTTTCTAGGCAAGATATGACATCGAAGTCTGGTATTCATCAAAATTATGAAATTTGAATCGTGGAAAAAGTCGAAGTGACAGACTCCAAATTTAGCGCAAGGGTATAAAATTGGAAACTGAGCAAATTTTTACCCGAGCATTTTTCGAAATTTCCAAAAAAATGATTTTTTGGGTATTTTCGAAAGAAATGTCAAATTTGATAGGTTTAGTAGCACATGACAAAAGGAAAGACTCTGTTTTCTACTTATTTTTCACGCACAAACTAACTGCGAAGTCATGGTTTCATTATATCCATTAATAAAAAAAAAATACTTCCATAGGTCGCGAACTTTATGTGTTACCCTGTATATGTCCCTTCGTTATCGTTGATAAAATTTCTGAATTAGTACTCCAGTATCCACGAAATTAGCTAAGTAATCCGTAAAACTCAAATCAAAAATAAATGTACTTTCTCTTACTTGAAACTCTCACGAAATATGTCATCTCGATCTAGAATATTATATGAATAACATATCCCCTCTTCCGTTAAGATCGGAGTAAATATATTCTCGCAGTCTACTTCTTTTCCTAAATATTGGCAGTACTGAAAGAAGTTGGTCCTGCTCTGAAATATTTCTTTAAGAAACTACAATTTCTCCTGCAAATCTTTTACCTTCTCTAAGAAATCGTAGAAATCTTCATCCTTGGTTGTATTATCTGTCTCTGGAGTGGCATAAAATTCGCAAATTGTAGAGGCGAGATTCAGTTGTTTCTCTCTGAAAAATTAATTACTGTCAGACACTGTCGAATTTTAACTAGCTATCCGTTGCCATTTGAAAAACAAAGTTTATACTTACTCTTCTATAGTTATCGGCAGATTCTCAAATTGTCTTCCGCGTAATTCCGTTGAATTCAGATAACTTTGTGAAATTTTTGCCCTGGGACATATTGTAACCGCGGGAAATGGTATTTTCTGTAAACGGGTTTCTTGCATAGAAAAGGTGACTAGAACTGGATAGTGTATGTATTTTTGAAAAATTTCGTGTATCATCAAACTACAGAAGATAATCGATACAACCAGTGAAGTTATCCACCATATTCTGGAAATAAAATAATAATGGATTATTGAATTAGATCAATTATGAAAATCGTACTGTATCACATCATAGAATAACTGACATATTAATCTACTCGCGTGTCAGTATAACGAGTATATGTGGACTGTTCCAAAAATAAGGTGAATTTTCAGCATGTTCAGTTTGTTGGTGCGAGGCATAAAAGTTAGAAACGTTTTTCGTTTTGTGCGATTTTCTGCTATTGAAGAACGAATCAAAGAATCCGCATCAAATTTGCCAATTTTGGCCAAAAACAGCCATCGTATTCACCAGATTTACCCCCTGCGACCTTTTCTTGTACTGAAGATTGAGGAGACCCATGACCCCACGACGATTGGGGAGTTAAAAACCGAATCGCTGAGAAGTTCGAGGACACCAAAAATTGTATTTCAGAGCTGCTTAAAGGTTTGAAAAAAACGCTGACACAAGTGTATTATGTCTGAAGGGGGCTACTTTGGAAGAAAACAAAATAGAAATTGATGCAAAAATACATATATTTTGAGAAAAATTCAAATTCGCCTCATTTTTTGAACAACTAAAAACAATTCACCAGCAATAAAAAAATCATTGAATTTCAACATATTCATTACATTTGTTTATATTCTTCACAATTTAATATGTGGAATGAATCAGTTTCAACAAAACAAAAAGTTGTATAGAATAAAAGGATTGTTGAGTTGTTGAAAAATGTGTACCCTGTTCTATTCCATTATCTAGAAACTTACTTTTCATATATTGTTCGATCTTCCCCTATATACCTGAATCCATGTATGCCAGTATAATCACAGTACTCTCTGAAATAAGACATCAGTTTTTTCCTCTTCGATAATGTGCGTGGTTTCCGTTTTTTTGGAATATTCGTTTTACTTTCCATATCTCACGATTTCCTGCAACGAACATTCTCTCACTGCCGTAATCCTACTGTTTTCCGTCAGTTTTGTGAAAACTAAAATGAAACAGCTGAACTGCACTTTGATATATCATTATAAATATAGATTTTCGAGTGTTTCTTCTTATGTTCCGTTACCAAAATATATTTGTCTTGAAACCAATTTGCATGCATAAACTACTGATTTATATTTTGCGTAATTTCTACCAGAAATTTCAGTCGCAAGTATCATGTCTAGTGCCACAATGAATTAAAGCTCTAATGAAGTACTGAATGAAAATATATTCAGTGCTAGCAAAAACTCGAGAGCATTTAATGAAATTGTGGTGAACAAGTCATTACATATTCTGAACCATGATGTATATAAACTACCCAGCTATGCAAACAACTCTGTCATCCTGGTGCAAAGTGAATGATAATAATAATAATGAACATTTATTGATCCACTTTGCTACACTGTAGGTACATAAGTGAAATACGAGAATGAGCCGTAACATGAAAGATTGCCAATACATTTTTGTTCAATACAGATATTCACTTGCTCCATTGCAAAAAAATCATTCGTTCAATCGATTGCAGAGGTATTCAGAATCAAACGCTTACTTTCACAACTTGTGAACTGATCGACAATTAGTCTAAGCCTCGTTATTAAACCATACATCGTAGGTCTGTGACTGTGATGGTGGCGTCATCAGAGCGCATGGTTGAATGTAAATCGCTCACAAACAATAGAGGACCAAGAACAGAGCCTTGAGGAACACCCAACCTAACCTCACGTTCATTAGAACCTGAATTCCCCTGATTCATAATCAAGTTATGACTATTTCAGTATATAATTCAAACCAAAGTAGTTTGCTGTTAGGCAAACCCTCTACATTTGATTTGCTCAAAAAATAATCAGAAGATACGATGTGAAATGCTTTTGACAGTCCTGAAACACATTGATTACAAAATTATTCTTATCATATCCTATTATATCAAGGAGATATAATAGTGAAACGAATGAAAATATTAGAGAAAAGTAAGGAAAGGAAAAACTTTTTTTTATTTGGCAGATACATATGTCTTTGTATATCTACTTACATCTTCCTACCTGAAGAAGCTAGCAATTCGCGCAAAACGTCGGTGACACTGAAAACCTCAGCCTCGAAAGCCTTAACCATGTTTTTTCTAGAAATTCGAATTGAACCAAATCACTGCCGAAATATCTCGAAAAATTAACTAGAAGTTTGGCAATAAAACTCTTGATGAACGCACTGTTCAACATTGGTTTGCAAGATGAGCCCCAAAGTGGTCGACCTACAGTAATCTAGGACGAGGATTTGAGAACCCTGGTGGAGACTGACCTATCATAAAAGGTGCGTGCGATGGCAGAAAAACCAGTTTCTATGCTGCCTTGATGGTTCAAAATATATTGATCGATCGACAGAAATTGTCACTTTTCGAGGTATGTCCTTCTTTGGTTTTGCGCATCCAAAACTATCCTTTTTTGGATCGGGTCGTCACAAGTGATGAAAAATGGATTCTCACGACAACATAAGGAGTTCAGGATAGTTGCTGGACACCGGTAAGACACCCAGGCTCTTCCCAAAGGCGAAAACCCACCAAACAAAGACCATGGTTACTCTAAGGTTGTCAGAGCCTGATGTGATTCACTATAACTTTCTGTAACCGGGTCAAACCAACACAGCAGACTCCTTTTGGGAGGAAATCGATGAGAGATGTTCAATCCTGCTCCACAACAACGCCCGTCTGCACATTTCACAAATCACTGTCCGAAAATTAAACGAATTGAGCGTGGAAGTTCTACCTCACCCACCACACTCCCCAGACCTTCTGCCAATCGACTACTATCTTTTCAAGCACCAATAGCACGTTGGAACTTTGATTATCCTGCATTAGTCGTAATAAAAATTATCATCAGTACTGAAACCTTACCTTTTATAATATCTCTTCCACCTCTACCATTCATGTAGACTGAAAGGATTCGTATATACCCACAAACAATTCAGAACATTTTCACGATTGTTTCCATACTACATTGTATGTCTGTTTTGTTTCCATACATTAGTTTATCACTTGTCACAACCGAACAAAAAAAATAAATAAATTCAACGCTGTATATTTCAGCGATGTTCCAGACTCACTCGCATTTGTTCCGTGTTATTCGGCGTGATAATCTTTCTATTAATATATCGTCCACATTTCATTTCTAGCAGGAATAATTAATTAGAGCAGTTGGTTAGAAAAAATACTTCCATTAGTTATCTAGTTTGCATGCCTTGGGAGTAATTACAGATATGGAAGCTGCAAAAAATGCGTTTGAAATGTATTTATTCTCTTGTCACAGTTTTTCATATTAATCTAAACAACCTTCAAAAACGTTTCAAAAAATGGAGAGAGAATGAGTTTTTCGTTACGCGGCTGTCTTTCCCATACGACTGATAACGCTCAAAAGTCGAAATTTGCTGTGGAGTAACGAGGTTTTATCTTTCAACGTGTGATCCAACATCAATTGGGTGGAACCCAATTGATGTTATATTGCATTCGTTTCCTGGCTTTTTGATTGACCAACTAATTATTTCACGACTTCACTTATGAATATAAAACTTGGGATAAAAATTTTCCATTTGTTTGTGTACTTTCATATCTGCAGTTTTATTGTATTTTTTATCTAGGATAATCCTTTGAAATTCTTTTTTCATTGAGAATTGAAATCCCAGATAGTTTACCGTATGAATAGGATGGATGTGACTGATTAGATTGACATCATTTAAGGGGAGTTACCATATGAAATAAAAGTATACACAATACAGTGATATCGAACGTAAATAAAAGTTGGGAAACTACATCTAGTTTAAATACCGCATTTTATTATAAAAGAAACAATAGGTTACTATCTACTCGTCAGTCTTTTATTGAATCACATCAAACAAAAGTGGAAGAAAAATGAAGTTGTCATTTTTACTTATCTTCATTGCCTTCGTTTTTATATTAGCAGGTAGTGGTCAAGTGGAAGGAAAGAAGTTTTGGAAACGAGTTGTAAGTATAAATATAATACTATTTTCAAAAAATTCTCTTTCGAGAAATAAATGAGGGGAGATAACACTTTAGCTGAAAAGTATCGGACCTAAGAAAAAAAAACGTGTTTTTTGTTAAAAATTGGCTTTATTCATCAACTAAATCTCCATCAAGATAAAAATATTGAATATTTTAATAGAATTCATTCGTAACTTTTCTAATATCTATGAACACTACTATACAATTTTATCAAACACGATCCATCTTTTCATTACTCTCAAAACAAGATACATGATCAATTTTTGAACTTGTTGTCGTCATCAGGCATCTAGTTCATCTCGTGATAATTTCTGTCTTCCATTTCCATTCGAATTTGACTAAAAATCAATCTCATTTGTGAGTTTTTGACTTGAAATAATTGAGTCCTCTTTGGAACCCTATATTATCCTTTATGATTTTTGTATGAAGTAATCTTTCACGACACTTTTCAGGAGAAAGTTGGTAAGAATATTCGAAAAGCTGCCGAAAAAACACTTCCTACAGTTATTGGATATGCAGGAGTCGTAAAACAAGTTGGTGCCAAATAAGTTTCATTGCACGACATGGGTTTGTTGAAATCAAACGTTCAACAGCCTGTTTTGAACGTTTTTCACGTTGATCCGCCACAAAAACCTATTTTTGTTTGACTATGTATAAGTACTAAAATTCATTTTTACTATGATAACATTCATGTATTTATAAATAAAAGAGTTACAGTATACATCAAGAATTTCTATAAATCACATGGAATTCCCTTTATAATTTTTTTTGTGGAAAAGCAATTGCTTTTCGAGAATGTAGGTATTCAATTTTTTTTGCAGGAAACCGATAGTTCAAGATAGTGTGTATTCCATTATTGATTGGTGCATTTGGTAGACATTAAATGTTTAATGTATAAGTTTGAAAATGTCCTTTATAGGACGAAACTGCAGTAACGTTAGTTGCAAAAAAAGTGGTGAAAAAATAGAAAGTTTCATTACTTATTTTTCATGATGATTTCCTACCACATAATAAAGGCTATATCATTCGATTGCTTGTGTTTTGTCATTGAAAAAATATTTCGTTATGAAGTACATTATGATACAAAAAAAATTGTGGCAACGTTTTATACAGTGTGGCCCATTTTTAATTGAAACACCCCCCTAAAATTTGAAGTTGTAAACCGATTTTAATATTTTTTTATTTGAAATATCAAGGACTAAAAGGTCTACTTTGGGACAAAATTTGAAATGTTTATTGAAGTTTCAGGGCATAGTACGAAATTTTTTCTTAGTCGAAAATCAGGATTTTTTATTAGCGATTTTTTTATTGAAAAAATCACTACGTCACTGGATTCAGAGTGCCTCTAAACAGGTGTGACCAAAATTTCATGAAAAAATATTCATTATTAACAAAGTTNGGCTATATCTGTTGATATAGGGTGTTTTTGTGACTGTTAGCTGTGTTAGTTATCGAATTTTTGAGTTGTCAAAACTTTGTTAATAATGAATATTTTTTCATAAAATTTTGGTCACACCTATTTAGAGGCACTCTGAATCCAGTGGCGTAGTGATTTTTTTAATAAAAAAATTGCTAATAAAAAATCACGATTTTCGACTAAGAAAAAATATCGTAGTATGCCCTGAAACTTTAATAAACATTTCAAATTTTGTCCCAATGTAGACCTTTCAGTACTTGACATTAAAAAAAATTATTAAAATCGACTCACAACCTCAAATTTTAGGGGGGTGTTTCCATTAAAGATGGGTCACACTGTATATAAATTCATCTTGATTTATCGAAATATAAAAGAGACATGCGGATCGATTCATAAATGGCAAAATATCTTGTATTGATCGGTAAATGTATCACAATGACACATTCAAAAACTACATTTGTCTTAGCCTTGAACAAATTTTGTTGGCCGCATCGAAACCGTCGTTCGAGAAAGACCTGAAGTATTAGAAACTGAAGAGACTTTCACTTGAATATACTGTAATTAACCGGCAAAAAGTATCTACGAACTTTTATATGAAACGACATCAACAGAGCGAATAGTTCATTACGAACAATAAAAAATGTATTGTTTTGTGGTTAACTTTGGAAAGCGAGTAGACAGAACAATATAATGTCCTTTTTATACTCTGGGATATAAATACTCAACTTTTGTTGATACTGCATTCACGATTCTTTTATTGTCGAGTGAACATTGTCCGTGAAAACCATGAAAGCTGTAAGTAGTAATTTTTGTTTATATTTTCAATACTTAGACGAGTGATTGAATAATACTCTGAAAAGTTTGTGTAATTGATTTGAACTCATCTTCATTAAAGATCTTTGTATGGAAAGCTTTCAATGCAATATTCCAGATGACTGGAATTTGTAATTTCTTCCACTCTGGTCGAGGACCAGTCTCAATGATTCAGACAACCCTCAAAAGTCAAAACTTGTGCGAGTGGAGGATTAACGAGATCTTATATTGCAACGTGTGATTCCTAGCACGGGTTGGACAATAGGCAGTGAAAATTGATCGTCCTGTCTTTCGGCTTGAACCAACGTTTCACCTGACAGTCGATCGGTTGAGGGGAACAATCAAAGATTTGCTGAAATAAAATAAAATAATGTTTCTATTGTTGGGCATATTTTAATACTGAACTATCTGTATATGTATGCTTTTATCAAATCTCTCAATTTATTATTTCATTCCTACTCAGTTGGTCAGCCATTGCATTTTCTTAGATACTCGTTTGTGATGAAATCCAGGAAAAGTTAATAATCTTCTGTTGTTAGAAGTGGTAAATTTCGTTATTAATGTAGTAGGGTATAAGGAGAGATAATTGAAGTTACAACAATCGATAATGCTTTTATAGAAAGGAGAAAGTTAGCAATATTAAGTGCTTTTTCGTCATTTTGAGTTCATGTGAATTCTGAGGCTTTCAATTTGACGACGTGAAGTGTATGAAAGAAAGAACTAGATCCTCTGACGTAGAATAATTCCAAAACAGTGTCTATTTTAGATTGTTTACAGAATTTCACCAACAACCAATATCTCCTCTATTTGTGAAGACAGAAAATTAAAACGACCTTCTGCGATCATCTTTGGCATAGTTGTAACCATTGTAGTTTCTATAAAACTATCATTAGCACCTAATCAATTTCATTCTCTACTTGAATGTCACTGTAATTGTAGATATATAGAGAAGCAATATTTTCTCTTAATTAGAATGGTCGGAATAGTTAGTCTTAACCAAAAATTTTACTGGCCTACATGAAACACATAAAATTTCAGAAAATTATCCAAGAAACGTTCAAAATTTACTTCGCCTGTTCCCAAACAAGTTTTATAGCGTCGTGATGACCTGATAATATGGCATGCACTAAAGGCACTTGGTATTTTCTTTTAGATAAACCCTTTAAAAAAACAGTGCAGTAATATCAAGGGAACGAGATGGCCATCACATTGCACCCCTGTTTCCTACACACCTCTGAGCATTTTAATCAATTATATGTTGCGTAATAATGTGCGAATTATAGAGAAGAGTACAATCTTGTTGTCATATCATTATTGTCGTTCTGACAGAGGGATATGCTCTGATAGTTCGGGCACGGTGTTCAGCAGGAAATCTAAATATCGTGGTTCTGTTAAAGTGTCAGTGTAAAAATATGGCACAATGACGTATCCACCATGACGTTCTCACTATACATTCCCCCTCCATATTGTTTGGAAACAAGTTTCTGCTAACCAATCGGAATCGTGATTGGATCGGTAACAGGAGTTGGAAATATCTTCAACATCATTATTATGAAACCTGATTTCATCACTTCAGCAGATTCGATTTAAGATACTTGGAAGTCGTGAACCATGACTTCGTGGCAGAAGAGTAACTCTAGTTTTCGTTTGAAATATGAGAGTCGGAAACGTGCACCAAATGAACTTGTTTGGTACCTCGTACCTTCAGCATATGCTGAAGGTTTCTCAGAGAGAACATTCTGTCCATATATTTTTCTGTCCATTAGTATGAGTTTTTTTTCAATGTGATTTACTTTGCAGGCTCTACTTTTGATTTGCATAACTTCATTACTCTCAATGATATTTTCACATCCCGTTGGCGTGGAGGACCAAGTGCAAAATCCTGGATTTGTCAGGGCGCAGAGACAAGCTGGAGGAGGGGGCCATCATCACGATGTAGTGGACTTCGGAGCACACACAGGTGATCATGGAGCTTTCGGATGGTATGCCGATTTTCCTGTGCATGGAGGATATTGAGACGGATACTGATGAACCAAAAACTGTAGACATCTGTTGTGATTAAATTGACTTTCATTGTTAGTGAGATTAGTTGTTTATGTTGAATGTTGTAGCTGCCAAAGATTTATAAGATAGTGTATACAAATGTCTGAATGTTGAGGTAAATTAGGTATAGAGAGCTGTGGTCCCACTGANCATTGTTAGTGAGATTAGTTGTTTATGTTGAATGTTGTAGCTGCCAAAGATTTATAAGATAGTGTATACAAATGTCTGAATGTTGAGGTAAATTAGGTATAGAGAGCTGTGGTCCTACTGAAATGAGGGCAACGATGAAGAAGTTATTGAAATAATAGAGAGTTAAGTTGTACGAATCATGGGATGGTTATTTATCACTTTGGAATTGTCTTCGCACTGTTTTTCACAAGAATTCCATTTCAAAATCTACGAATGGAAAACGGGAATACTGTATTATTTCAGTGTGTTTGACGTTCAAAAGTATGATTGAATGAGATATGCCGGTGTTTACTTAAAGCATGTTTGCTCCTTTTCTTTTCTCTGTACTTTTTCTGCTATTTCCCCTCTTTCACTTTCTTTTGCTTATTTATTTTCAATCCTGTAGTTCTGCGGTCTTTTTCTCCAGGTTTCCTTCTCTGTGGTATGTTTTAATTCTTGCCTATTCTTCAACTTTTTATTTTAATATGTTTCTCTTTCCTCATCTTCAATCCAGCTATTAACTGATCAATTTTTATTCCTCTGTTTTTGTTCGGACTGTGTTGAAAAAATTAGTTCAATACCTACTTATATTTCCAACTATTTACATTCTTCTAATTTTTTTAAAACATTTATGATTGATTTTCTTGCTACTTTATCTTTTCAATTTGGTGATTTATATTTTTGGAAACCTATACCAAACATTCATTTATCTTTAAACACAGTGCACAAATGCATGTCGCTTTTCTTATCATAATTTCTTTTTTTCATTTTGTATATTTGTTTGCTTTAAATTGGTTTTCATTTTCTCTGCAATTTTGTCTATACAGCTTTTCCTATCAATTCCATTCTTATTTTCAAATTCTATGTATTTTTCCCTTCACTTGCATGTTTTCTGTGACAATAATATATTCTACCTGTAATTGTTTTCCTCTTTCTTTTCTCTTTTACTCTTCTTCTTTCTCTCACTGTATTTTTGAAGTTATTAAATTCTACTTCTCTCCTCTTTTCTTCTTTGCTTTACAATAACGCTTCTTCATTGTATTGTATCGAAATCACTCTGAAAGCTAAACCATAATTTCCTTAATATAACCCTAAATACAACTTCTGTTGTAGAAGTGAATGTTTTGAAACATTGATCAGAATGTATTTGTTGTCAAATTTCAAATTGGTTCGTCTTGTTATAATTTTATGAAATGTATGAAATTTTTGTAGTCGTTTTTCCTATCTGTACAGTTTTGTAGCATTTATAAAAATGTTTTATGTGTATTCTCGAATGTAACACTAATGCTGGGATATCGTACGAATTGAAATACTAGTAAACTTTAATTTCATTGCTTGAAGAGAATAAAACATGAAGACCTGAACAATCTAACATATTCGTCTTATTTTGTTCTTTTCAAAACATGCAGACTGCAGAAATAAATAGCGGAAAGAATCATAGAGTATCTCACAGGTACGATTCCAAGAGCAGTGTCTCTAATTCAAATGGCAACCATCTCGTTATGCAAAAGTAATTCTTCTAAAAAAAAGTGTGTTGTACTGAACTGAGAAGAGCAATTGAAGTTAGCCACGTACTTCAGACATACATGGCTTGTGAACTTTACCGTTATCTACCTTCAACCTCACACCCCAAGTTAAATATTTCTCAAAACTTTTATGAAAATCTATTTTTACATTCACCTGATGGTGGAACAAACTACATGCCAACTCAACTGAATAGCTTCCCGCCTTCAACTTTTCGTTGCAACCGGTTTCGTTCTTCAGAGAATACTTAAATTATAATCCACGTACTAGAAAAAGTCAACAAAGTTAACCATAGATATGTTCAGTTGAATATTCGTTTATAATTCTTATAATGACTGTAGTAGTCAACTTGGAAAAATAAATTGGAAGGTTATCAACGAATACAAGAAGATAACATGAAAAATTCAACATTTCTCCAGATTATTCAAGACATTGTCATAACTATTGGAAATATTTATAATAAATGATCAAGTCATACTCTACATTAGGTCTTTATTGTAAAAACGAATGGAAACATTTCATTTTCTCTGTTGTTGCTGAGCGCGATTGTTGTCTCGTCCAGGGAAATTTCTCTGAGGTGGAGTTCTGATCCTCCTGTCCTTCTTGCTTCTATTACGTACTACTTTACTGTGGATCGCACACGAAACACAGTAGTGTAGCTTGGCGTAAAGTTTTGGAAGAACGTATTCTAAAAAAAAAAACAAGAATTTATAGTAATGTAAATTTATTTATTTCAAAATCAAAATTCTTCGTGGTTCTTATAGGATATAATAATGATATTAAAGAAGATCAAATTTGAATATATTAGGTTGTTTCAAACGTTTTGTCAGTTTCAATGTCATGTGTTTTTGAAGCTTCATATCTCAATAAATATCTATTCTACTGTGTCATGGTATATACTGATTGACAGAGAATTTTCTACTCTATGCATTGTTGATACGGTCATCGGGAATAACATACCTCAGGTTGATAGACGTGCAAAGTCGATTTTTCATGTTACATTTTTTAATATTTCCACCCTTTTAGACGGCTTGAAAGAAAGGAAGTTTTTTCCTCACTAAGGCAGTCAATAATAGTATCTTTGAAAAATGAGTTGTACAAAGTCGTTGAATAAAAAAATATTAATTGCAGTATATTTTTCTCGGTGCGTTCAGAGTAGTTCTCAAGCAGACACATAAAAGTCCTTTTCCCGAGCTGCACAAGTTAGCTGTCTGATAGTATTTATCTACACCTGCCACATCGGTTCCATCAGAACGGGTATTTATTTCTATATATTGAGAATTTATTTCGAGTTAGGTAATTCATCGATCATTTTAGTCATGTTTGAATTTTGGAATGAAGGTTTATTCATTAATTTTCCAGATAATTCAGTTCCAGAATTCTTATTATTTCATATATCTTTATATCGGTTGGCTCAGGTCTAGGTGTATTTTGTTGACATTAATCTTATTCCAGATGAGGTCATTCCTGCCAAAAGCTGTCTCTTCTCGATCAAATAATACGAAACAGAGAATAACTTTCGGAGAGAAAACCCCATCTGAAATATGATTAGTGCCAACAAAAACATCTACTTACTATCAGCGGTTAACATAAAAATTACAATACATAAAACATTTGTGAATCTAATACATGCAAGAACAGCTACATGTTTACGTTCAAGTTCTGTGATGCAGTGACCATATAGTTGGAAGAATGAATCAGTCAGAATTAATTTGAATGAGCCAATCAGTTTTAGAGTTTTGAAGCCAAAACTTCAAAACTTAGAGCAAACTAAAAACTACGAAAGGTGAAAGACTGTTGGGCTTTGGGCAGAGAAACTTGCTTGGAGTTATATTTGAATAATACTTACGAGTATAGACTGAAGCCTCGGTGATATCCCTTACAGCTGCAGCTTCAACAATGTTACGAATAACAAATTTCTTGATGGCTTTATCCTTAGGAACACATCTTGCACAATTGGTGCAACGAACTGGCTTTACATGACCTCGGCCGTGTTTTGAACGTCCTCCATTGCGCCTTTTGCAAGTCTTTAAACAAATAAATTAAATGAAAATTTCTTACCTCACATGTGTTCAGAAATTAAAGGTTATATACCAAACAAAATACTCGAAAGTTTAAGTGTACCAATTGTAATGAAATACGTATCCAGGGAGTCGAAAAATCTGAATTTTTGGTATAAAAATAAGAAGTTTTATAGAAAATAAGCGAATTACCATTTTTACAGCTTTCCAACTCTGTTGCACGGATGTAAAAGAGCTGTCAAAATTGTGAGACGGTTGGCGTTGTTTTCAGTTGCAGGCCCTGGCGGAAGTCCAATCGATTCTCTTTCAATGTCACCAACGTAAATATTCGAATGCTGGAAATTGAGGTAAAAAACTAAAAATCAGCTTGCGATCCTGGCGGTTTGGATTTTTTTCTATTGAACTCTTACGGAGAAAAAGACCTTCAAACTTCTAGAAATTCCACAAAATTCACGAAATTGACATCACACATAGATCAAACAGATATATTAGGGCTTTCAAATTATCGGAACACATTGAAATGTACTGATCGGCCTTATCTGAGTGTTCTCATCTAGCACAATCTGAAATGAACGTGATAATTGTAAAAGAAAAATGTAATCACGTGTAGAAAGTGCGAACTTAAGTATTTTTACAAAAGAAATATGGTACTGAAATTTGAAAAGATCAATCAACTACAGATGAAGGAAGATGAGGAAGTTGAAACCATAACAACCGAAATATTTTGTGAAGTGGGTCACTATATGTTTCAAGAATTTCGTTTTATACAAAAAATGAGGAAACACGTGGAAAACCTGTTAATCTCAGTCGTAAGGCAGAAGCAGATTATTGTTGGATACAGAGCGTTCTTCAGGTGGCATCAGTAGATGTGACTTACACCAACTTCATTTTTTTGCTGTCTCCTATACCGGAGTAACAATTCCTGTAATTTTTATACTTTCTACAAGTGCATTTTCACTTTCAGTCTCCAATACATATAAATGACTTCTGGAAGAAATTTGCGGAAAATTTTCTTGTGAAAGCTCACGCAAATTTCAATAGAGTGCGATGAACATCAATGATTTCCTGAAAAACAAGTAGATATTTCTCTGCTTAACCTCCATAACCATCTTTGAACGATATATTTTTTGTCGCCTTTGTTTTTGTACATGAACATATTTTCATTTTTTTAGTGGATAAAAGCTGTTGAGATAAATGTATCCAATGGACCTCATTCCCTATTACATTTATTTGATGTTCTCTATTATTGTATGGTCATTGCTTCTTTCTCAGGAGCATTCAACCAATTTATTTGATTTTCATGTTTCGTTCCATGTTACTTTGTTGGTTCCATGTCGAAAAAAGCATAACCATAAGCATAAAACACTAATACTATTCTGTGACACAGTTACACAGAATAGTAAATGACTATTCTGTGACAGTTATAACCTCATAAAATAGACATAACATAACCAAAGAATTGACAAAAAGTAAAGTTTGAAGCAAATTTGGACAAACTCTATTATTTAGATAGCTTCATGAAATATTTAATGAACTGAGAAAATATGTTGTCATACAGCATTCTCAAACATGTTACTAAAGAAACGAAAATATTCGTTAGATATAAGCATCCTTCTCACCATTGGGTAAATGAGTCTTTTGAATCAGGGTTTGATTCTTATCCCATTGTTTCCATTTCAGTCTGTACTGCGGAAAAAGGATCATCCTATCGACAAAGCTCTAAATCATTTCGACGACTTTTACAAACAGGTTTTTGATAAAAAGTGGCCTTCAATTCGAAAAGCTTTATTTGCCAAGAAGAAATACATTGCTGTGGTTAATCGCTTTGGTGATAATATAGAGACAATTTCAAAATTAGAATCTGAGGGAGCTTTGAATATGCGTAGATTGTTCACCTTAGAAAAACAATATATTCAAGAAGAGATAAGTGAAAAAAAGCGCAACACAGCACTAGAAAACATATTCAAATTGGATGAAATGACGGAAAAAGCAACCGAAAATGTAGATCCAAAGGTGACAACAGATAATAAGCTGTCAAAAAGTAGCCAGTTCTCACTGGCTTCTAGTTTGAGCAATGCCCAGTACGATACAGAAAGGTTAGTAGACGGCAAAAGTTTTTTGTCTCCAGAAATTCTGCACCACTTCATCCCAGCGACGAAAATCAAAGGAAACGAAGACTTTTTACCAGAATCTTCCCATTACAAGTTTTATGATCAAAATATTCAATTTGCTGTAAAATCTGATAATGAATTTGACATCCACTTTCCAGAACATTTAGACATTTACTGTTACGAAAAATATAATAAAAGCGACTTTGGAAACCCTTCGAAAGGTTCAACTGGTGTGTATAACTATTATCTGATGGATGGAGGATCAGTGCTCCCCATTCTAGCTTTAGATATCAAACCAGGACACAGGGTTTTAGATATGTGTTCCTCTCCTGGAGGTAAAAGCTTACTGGCCATACAAACATTGTATCCTGAATGTGTCGTGTCAAATGATATTTCTGGTTCTAGGCTGGATAGAGTTGAGAGTGTTTATGAACAATTTTTGTACGATTTCAATGAGAAATGGTTGGGTCCAGGAAAAATCAAGTTGACACTTGGGGATGCACGAAATATTGTCGATGATAACTTCGATAGAATTCTGGTAAGACCTTGTTTCATACATATGAAAGTCTTCATTTCAAAATTGAACTTTCTCTTCTCTGTTCGGGTTTGAAAATGAGCTGTTCAAGGTACTTTCATATAGAATTCTTTCAGGTTGATGTGCCTTGCACTACAGACAGGCAGTCCCTACATGAAAACGACAATAACATTTTTAAGCCATCTAGAATAAAAGAAAGATTGCAGCTGCCTGAGCTGCAGAAAGAATTATTATTTCATGCTCTGAAATTGGTACAAAAAGGGGGTATTGTTGTGTACTCAACTTGTTCCTTGAGCCCCATTCAGAATGATGGAGTCGTTCATATGGCGCTGAAACAAATTTGGGAAGAAACAAATATGGAAATAGTGGTCAAGTGAGTCTAGTTATGATTAGAATGAAATGTATTTTATACGTTTGCTTTCCAGGGACCTTTCTCCTGCGCTACTACAGGCTAGGAGTGTTTATGAATTTGCGGATAGGAATTTATTAAAATATGGACATTTAGTTTTACCAAGTATGTCGCATAACTATGGCCCGACCTATTTTTGTAAATTAAAAAAACTAAAATAAATTAGTCATGTAACAGCTGATTAATATTTTCTGTCTGCCTTGAAGCCTAGCAGAGAAAATCAATTGATATCAATTGACAAATGGGAAATCGCTTTCTGTCTCTCTACAGTTTTCGCCGACTGTACATAGGACTAAACAAGTAACAAAACAGAACTCAAGATAAAACAGATAACGATAAGAGAATCTGGATTCTAGAACTTGCTTTCCTGCAACACCTACAAAGATTGAAGTAGAGTTCAGATTTATTTCGTTAATGATGTAAAGGTGTATAGAAGCAAGGGAAAATCCAGATTTACTTCCTGTGTGGGAGATATAGAGGATCCTCCATAGTTTCAGAAAGAGAAAGATAGGCTTCCTAAAACTTTGGAAGAACCCCTAAACGTGCTCTCGTATTCTGACAATCCAACAGATCATGCCATTGGATAATAGATATGCTCGTTTGAAATGTGAAACTAAGTGCTAGTAGAACAAGTAGAGGTTATGATTATTTGATTTGTCGAGAACCATTTGAAGAAAGTTAATTAACATCTGCAGTAGAGAAGATGCATATATTTTTTCCAATTTTCTCAAATAATTGATATGGTGTTATCAGCATTACGGCAAAACATCTTTCTACCGCCACCTCGTAACTCGTAGACAAAGCTTACAGCGTCACTACACATTTACAGCTTTATTTATGTTCATTCGAATGAGTAATAATAAGTTGAGCTTTTTTGTGGAAGATGGCGCCACTATGTCCTTTCCAGATTTAATTCGAAACTATTTTACATAGGTTTTTTATACTAATCTCATCCATAGAAAAAAAATGGACCTCTCTTCAGTGAATAAACTACTTGTGAAGAGCATCATTGCTTTACAGTTTCATGCCAAAGTCGAGCCTTTATGGCTATTATATGATTTACCGAGAACCATTCAAAGAAAGTTAATTAACATCTCCAGTAGAGAAGATGCATATATTTTTTTCCAATCCTCTCAAATAATTGATATGGTATTATTAGTTCTATTGCAAAACATCTTTCTACCGCCATCTCGTAACTCGTAGACAAAGCTTACAACGTCACTCCACATTTACAGTTTTATTTATGTTGATTCGAATGAGTAATAATGAGTTGAGCTTTTCTGTGGAAGATGGCGCACTATGTCCTTTAAAGATTAAATTTGAAACTATTTAATATAGGTTTTTTTATACTAATCTCATATGTTAAATCGAATTATTGTAAAAAGGAGACAGTGGGCGACATCTAGAAATTGTAATTTGAAAGTTCTGTTTAAAAACATTGGTTGTTTCCATAACAGATAAGGTCCGAACTAGTCCGAAGTAGAAGAAGAAGAGAGTCTTAACCTAACAATATACCTAGGTTAGAATAGGTGTTTAGGGTAACAAATTGTGAATTATTTCACTATTTTTATGTTATGAGAGTACTGAAAGAATATATAAATCAAATAATACTATGGAAACTCCGATATTGACCAAAAAACAACAAAAATTGAGTCTTTCGGCAAAGAAACGTAAACCAAAAGAAACAATAAAAAATGTATTGGCTTCATCATTCAACAACTTTTTCTGGTAAAACTGTATTATCTTTATTAATTTTCTTTACAATAATAATAATTCTCTGACAGGCCAAAAGTACCATCAGAACATCATGGAACACTTGTAGAAATCTTGAAGAACAATCTTCCTAGGATGAAAGAGAATCGAATTAACACACCTTGGCGAGAATTAAAGAAAGTTCCCAAAGCTGACCGTAAAAAATTCAGGGAAGATTACATCAAGAATGTAACTGGACAAGTAGTAACCAAAATAGAGAGGTAGGTGAGCTATTTCCTGAAAATGAAACATATTCATTTTGTTTTTTTTTTTAGTGGAGGTATGTGTTTGGGAGTCAACAATGTTACAAAACTCTTGGAAACGAATAATGCCGACACTGTCTTAATAGCAGGTGATGTCCACCCCATATTAATGGTGCAACATTTGATTGACTTGGCAATTTTATACAGGGTTCCTGTACTTATCCTTGACGACTTGAGAGACTTATTGAAAACTCATACAGGTATCAGTAGTCTTGCCTTAGGAGTTCGCAAAGATATTCGTTCAGAACCAGGATTGAATTTGATAAAGAAAACTGTCAATGAAATTTTTGCCAACTTCCCTCTTCCAAAAAACCACATCAATTTTAATAGATCCTTGAAAAATGAATCGAATGATGATGCTGATGTTGGCAGTGAAAATCAAGTTGTTGAATCTTGTGTCAAAGTAGATGAAAATCAAATAAAACAAACCGTCTACTTGAAGCGTGTGAGTAAACAAAAAAGGGCATTCATTCCACAACTAACTGATGAGAAGAAAACAGCCAAAATGGAAGTGGATGAAACAGGTTTTCTTGCATTTTCTGACGAACCTGTCAAACCCAAAGTTGTCGAACCTAAATATAAATCACTGGTTATCAAGAGGCTGAAAGGTGATCCCAATCGAAATAAACGGAAAATTGAAAATCTGAAAAGGAAACGTGGTATGGAAAGTAAATGAATTAGTTATTGAATAATTTATGTGTTGCCCCCAAATGTACGAATATATAAAATAATACTGTGCGATTTAGGCACGAATTCTGATGCTGATGCAACTCATGACATTAGCAATTAGAAATGGTTTTTCCCTTGAAAATAATCTGCATAGTTTTCCAGCTTAGAACAGTGTTTTGGATCCGCTTCTGATCTCATTTCACCAGCTAAATGTTCATAATAATTATTTCCTTTAGAGATCAACTCAAAGTTACAATTGATTTTATATTAGATGTTGAGTATATGGAAGTTATGATAAACTGCAAAATGTTGAAAAATGTTTTTTAGTTTATCACTGTTGAATTATAAGTTGAAAAATAACTTAAATTTTTTTTACACTCCCGTCAATTTGAAAAACTATTCAGAATTTGAAAGGTAAACAAATAGATAATATTTTGGTAACAATTTTTTTTCGGGTTGCCAATCTTTCATCAACATATAAAGTATGGGAAACTTCCAGTCAAGAAAAAATACGATATATCCTTGTTGTTTTGAAATTTGTAAATACATCGCTATTAACAGGTAAATTTTCTAGACAGCAAGAAGTCAGCACTGTTGTTCTGGTACTTGAAATAAATAGTACCACTGAAATTATCAGAATGTCAACAAGGGTTCTGATATAATGACTCAATTGAGGCAGTACTTCAGTCAACTTTATTGGTTAACTTAATTATTTTATTTATACGGGATAAACTCCATTACAATGTAAAAATTTCACAGAAAATAAGTAACAATCTAAAAATGTAAAATATAAAATAGGGTGCTACGGACAAGAATTAGTTGGTTGAATCAGATCCTTCAGCATCAGACCTTGTGAAGCTACAATAAATATCAGTTCCCAAATTGTAATTTAGATATATTCAGATAGCTTTCACTTCTGGTTTTTCAACGTTGATTTCTTCCTTTTTCTGTTTCGTGGAGGTGAGTGGTTGTGATTCTCCTGCAGATTCTTCAACTTTGTTCCAAGGTTGCTCTTCACCAGATGCGAATACCATGTAAACCAATATCTCTACTATGTAGAAACCGACGGTGGTCCAAAATATAATCCTCCACGACCTAATTGAGCTCTGGAACCCAAAACATTAGTTTGTAATCATATGAACATGAAATTAATATAACTTATATTATTGAAACCTTATTTTTTTGAGCATAAAGAAAGAACAGGTATGTAATATGCATATCAGTGAAGTTCTAAGGTCACTGGGTGTGTTTGACCCTCCACTGCAACCCGCGAGAGTTTATTGTGGCACACACATTATTTAAGATCGGCCAAATGATTTTGTCTTCTTGATGAAGCCCATTACTTCATTAGGTGGAAATTCGTGATAAAATCCACAAAAACCTCAAGAAAGACCAAAGTAATGATGCAAATGAAATTTGTTATGAAAAAATATAAACTGAAATTGATATTTGTTTAAAAAAAAATGAAAGACTATGTACTCAGTTTCGAAAAAATGGTCACAGTATAACACAGTAATACTAAAAATACTCACATCAGCTGTTGTCAGCTTTCCCACAAAAACGGGCACAATGATACCAGGGATTGTCGCCACTGTGTTCGTTAAGGCCATAAGTGTCCCGGCAAAATTAGGAGCAATGTCGATGTGGTTAGATAAAAATCCGCAGAACATCCCTCCGATTGACATGACGGCCAAAGTCATCAAAAAAACCGCCAACGCCCTTTGGCACCCGACGTAGCAAAGAGCAATGAAGCAAATCATCGGGATCACACTGGCACACCCGGTCGCGGTCTTTCTAGCTGTCGTTGTAGATATAAACTTCTTTTCGCGCAAAGTATCCAAGGTCTTGCTCAGAATCAGACTGAAGAGCCACATACACAAGAATGGGACAGCGGTGAGAACAGCGTTTTCAGAAATTTTGAAGTTGAGAGCGGTTTTCATGTACAACGGCAGCTCTATTAGAACCATGTACCAGCCCCAGTTTGAACAGGTATGTGCAACTAGTATGGCTAAGAAAGCTGGAGACGTCAGCACTGATTTCCAAGGCATTTTGTGCTTTTCCTAGAAAATAATAATGAAATTTGAGCACTGTACATTTTTTTAAGGGTTTTTGATAGCAATATAGAATGGACCCAGTAAATAGTGAACCAGTAAATACTGGGTCGATTGTATTGCNATACTTTGTACTGATTCCAATTTTTTTTGTATTATGATTTTTTTCGGGGTGCCAAAGAAGAGCCATATTTTTTTTTAGTTTTGCTTATATGCGCACTCAGTATTTTTGACCATTTAATAAATTTTGTTGTAAGTTACATTCGTTTAATAATCACCCGTCAACTTTTTTCCCTAAAGCGATCTAAAAAAAAATTATTGCCATTTTTAAAAATATCCCTAGACTTTTCCGATGTGTGTATTTCAGAGTTCAAGTTCACAAGAACAATGGTCAGCTAAAGATCCCAGGCATCCAATATGTACACATGCAAGTTCTTGGATAAAACGAGATGTTATTCAGACAGGCCATAGAAATACATGTATGTAAGAATAATTTTAACCGCATGGAAGAGAACTTGAACATCAACAAGAGTCGGATCAGTCAGGTACAGGAACAGTCGGTCGTCCGACATCTAGGTTGAGCAATTCCACCGTTGCTGATTGCCTTCGATAATCAATGCCGCAGTAGCAGATGAAACGTTAGGTATAAAAAAATCTGCAGACCACGGATAATAAAGCCTTATACTTTGTTAGATACAGGCTGTGAGGGTCTACATATCATATTTCAGATTATTATATAGGCCAATTAGGCTGTAGCCTAGTGGTGTCCCGTTTTTCAGCTTTTCAATTTGATATATAAGTTTATTGATTTATTATTTCATCGTTTGTACTTCTTCTTTTTTCGTTTATTTATTTTAAGTATGTAGTTCAATTATATGAAGGTATCATTTTTTGTGAAGAAACTGGCAACTATAGCAAAGTTTTGGAAAATTAATTCAAAGTAGCCCATTTATTGAAATGATTCCAATAAACAGATTCTTCGACAATCGAAAAATATGTTGTTTAATGATGATAATTATTGTTTAATGACTCTTTACAAATTATAACATTTTGAGCTGCCGACATATATTCTCATGGCACTGAAAATTACAAAGTTCTGTTAAAAACTGATTGTAATAAGGTGTAGTAATCCAAAACTCTTTGAGGTATCGGAATATATAGTCCCAAAACTGGGGGAAGCATGTATCTATAATGCAATAACATACTAGATGGCCTGAAAAATTCGTAGGCTAACAGACAGATGGCGCTACTAGTAAGAAATCCATACGATTTTTAGTAAACCCTAACCTTCAAAAGACGCACACGTACAAATTTTATAGCTGTCGGATTATTAGTTTGTAGGATAGGACATTTTGAGTGAAGCATTTTTTGTTAGTTTGAAGAAAATGCATACAAAGGAGCTTGGTGTGTAAATAAAGCATTGCTTTTTGGGGAAAGAACAACTGTAGAAGGCAAGGCTTGGCTATAAACATTGTTCGGACTTAGCACCAGGAAAATCAATCGTTGAAAAGTGGTTTGCTAAGTTTAAAGCTCTATAATTTTCTTGATGATCATACAAAATCATCCCCCAATGTTCATATTTTTAAATCAAGGCTGAAAAAGAGATGCCACTTCGTAAGTGTTGTTATTCCATAGACGATTTCTTTTTATGATAATAATTTTTTATTTTCAAACTATATTATTGATGCTTTTTATATATACATGTACACGTAAATTTGTAATTGTTGACAATGTAACGATGTAACTGAAATATTGACTTTTTCATTATTCATGTAACCTTTATGCATTCAAATAATAAAATAAAAGAATATTATTATTAAGCAATGAGCACCAAGGACGATCCACGCACTGGACGCCCCAAAGAGCTTGTTATCGACGAAAACATAAAAGAAATCCACAAAATAATTTTGGCTTACCGCAAAGTGAAGTTGATCGAGATAGCTGGGGCTCTAAAAATATCAAAGGAACGTGTTGGACATATTGTAGATAAACATTTGGAGATGCAAAAGCTCTATTCAAAGTGGGTGCCGCGCTTGCTCACAATCGACTAAAAACAACGAATTGATGATTCTGAGCAGTGTTTGAAGCTGTTCCACAATGAAAAACCCCAATTTATGCGTCCATATGTGACAATGGATGAAACATGTCTCTATCATTTCATACCAGAATCAAAACGATCGTCTTTTGCTCGTGGTGAACCGACTCCAAAGCGTGCAAAGACGCAACAGATATGCTGGCATCAGTATTTTAGAATGTGCATAGTACAATATTCATCGACTATCTTGAAAAAAGAACTATCAACGGCGACTATAACATTGCTTTATCGAAACTTTTGAAGAACGAGATCGCGAAAAACGTCCAAATTTAAAGAAAAAGAAAGTGCTGTTTCATACATTGCTTTTTGGAAAAGTTACTGTACACCCTGTATATTGCAGATCTTTAAAACAATATGATAACTCACATGTGCAAACTATTAAACAGGTTTATTGACTTACCTCATGTTTTACACCTTCTTGGCCTTGATTCAAAGATGAAACAATAAAATCTCTCTCTTCCTTGCTGATGAAACGTTGAGATGTTGGAGAATCAGCTACCAGAACCGTCCAAAGTATTAACCAGATCAGGCTAACTCCACCTTCGATGTAGAACACTTCAGCCCATCCTACGGCACCAGCTATTATACCAGATACAAGCATGAATACCTGAAATTAAATATGTTCACGAACTTCAGCTCTCAGTTTTCTCACAGTGACTTGTTGATATCTATTTGGGCATTTTCTATACTTTTCTATGCAATTCATCGGTACAGAAACAATTTAAAACGATAATTATTAAAACAGAAAACCTACAACTACATCAAAATGTCAAAGAACTAAACAGTAAAGATTATTAAAAAACGTCTTTACGCATATTTTGTAAAATATAAATTATTCAACGAATCTCAGTTTGGTTTTCGTAAGTACCGCTCTACAGCAGAGGCAGTTCTCAATGTGCTGAGTTAAGTAGTCGACAATCTCGAGCAAGGTAACCACACAGCTATTACGCTCTGCGAACTCTCTAAGGCGTTCGACTGCGTCTTTCACGATATATTGGAAAAATTATATTACCGTGGCGTCAAGGGAGTATCTCTATCCCTTATAATATCATATTTATCGAATAGATATCAAACAGTCAGTAGCAATAATTGCATTTCGAATTTAAAAGTCGTTAAACGTGGTGTTCCCCAAGGATCAGTATTGGGGCCACTTCTATTCATAATTTACGTGAATGACATTTTTGTAACTTCATGCATCCATATAAATCTGTTTTGTTTGCCGATAACACTACATTTATTTACTGTGACAAAAATTCTATTGGTCATATTGACCAATTGAGTAAAAGATTATCTAGAACTCTTTTTTTATTACGTCAGTTGAGAAATATAACTTGTTTCAATACACTGAAAATAACATAGATATATTTATTTGATCATGTTATGTATAAAATACATTTATGACAAGTCTATAAAATAGAATCAACAGTAAAAATTTGTAAGAAGTTTACAGGGTATATTAACATATTCAAATTAAGTGTGGAGGTTCGGTGAGCATCTTCCTTGCAACAAAAGTGTGTCTACGCACATGTTCTAAATATTCTGAAAGGGAATAAACACAGTTTTTTTTAAATATTTTTTATAACTTTTTTAAAACAAAACATATTCATATTTTTAATATTGGCAGGAAGT